TTAATTCAGAGCCGAATCACAATTCATTGCAAATTGAAGTGTTTGTGACAGTATTGCTAAATTTGGCCTCAAAATCATTTACGCATTGTTTTTCAGCAATTGCTAAGTATTTGTTAAAATTGTTGTATTTTTGTCATATAATTTACTAAATGTGATGATAGATATCATTCGGCATTTATGGCGCTCAAGACCTCAGAAGAAGCGCAGATCTCTATTTTGAGTACAATTTTTGAAGTTTGGAGAAAACATCAACAGGTATTGCAATCACAATGATTTGATTTGTAAATAATGACTAACTTATAATATGTTGAATTGAATTAGTTATTGGTTATTCTCATCAGTAAATTATTGAAATCAGAAGTGATTGAATGCTCTTCTGTTGCCAATTGGCTCTTCTCTAAAGAGAATTCATCGGAATTTATGAAGTATTGATTGTTTTAATTATATTATCGGTACTAATATATGAACTAAATGTTGTAACAGATCATACATTTGGGAAATTCTAAACCAAACCATACAAAAGTCTATAAGAAGTGTTGAATCACTTGAAAAAGAATTGGAAGAATCGAAAGAAAAATTACGAAAGGTTTGGAAATAATAACATAATTATTTAAACTAATTATTTAGTTAGCAATATAACAATTCATATATAACTATATAACTTTAAATATAAACTATAGAAACTATTTTAGTAATTGGCAATTGGGCTCATTTAACAACTATTTGGAGACTTTGTTGATTAGTTATTGTAACGATTGGTTTATGTTTAGATGGAATCGGGAGATACGGCCGAAGAAAGTGAAGTTCCCACTGAAGAGATGGTCGACTCCATTGAAGAGCGCTTAGAAGCGGCGCAATCGGATCAGAAGAATCTGTTTCTCATAATATTCCAGCGCTTTATTATGTTATTGTCTGAACACATCCAGAAATGTGAATCACAGGGAAAGAGCTTTAAGAGTCATTGGTTTCGCTGGACTATCGGACGACTCCAACAGGTCTTCTTTGAGGTAAATATGATTGTAATCAATATATATTGTATTAATTAATGTGTAAATCTGACGCCAATTAGCATCACAACCATGTCTTCAAATATCTGTCAACATTCGAGACCCTATTATTTACGGCTGATTTGGATCAACACATTCTTCTCATATTCAAACAGTTCTGCGCTCTTAGGAATTGAATGCCATTTCATATCAATTGATTGCTTAAATATTTTGATAAAAGTAAATGACATTTAATTCAATTGTCGAAACATTTAGAATGTTATCTCAATTTGTGAGCGATTTTTTCACACTTATATATTATCTCAATTAAAGTTTCACTCAATCGGACTAAATATTTGATTCAAAAAAACTAAATATTATTCTTTGATTGTATGCATGAATTAAAAATAATTTTTGAACTAAAATTTAATTTTTTATTTGCAAAAATATTTCTGTTTATTATAAATTAATTGACATAAATAAAATAAAATATGTATCGGTAGTATTTTAATTGATTTGCCCAAATATACATTGTATATCTAATCTGAATTGAACATGCTAATTGATTCTTAACGTTCCCTCCTTGAATGGAACTCCAACTTACGGCAAGTCAATGGAACTAGTGTTTATTTATTATTGTATCAATGGAAGTTAACATCACCATAGGTTAATATTATTTTATTGATAACGTTAATTCTATGGGCCTAGTGGCATTTGTTGCACATCTTGTCTATAATAAAATGTTCGCTAAAAAGTTTGCATAAATAAAATTGTTTTAAAAATAAATGCAATCAAATTAATAGACAATATGTGAGTGAATTGAGTGACAACTGGTAAACAGTAATGAACACCAGTTTTCTCCTGTATTTGTGACCAAAATTGAAGGTTTATTTGTGTAAACATTAAAATTGGCTGAAAAGTGAAGTCTCTGTTCGAGTCATATGTTTGATAAGAGAGACAAATGATAACATAAAACGCCTTCAAATGAATGCAAAGGAAATGCAGAAACGATTTAAAAGTTTTCAATTCATTTGATTTTTAGTATTTTTAGCGAAAAAATGCAAATATTTTTGTATAATTTACTCAAATTAGTGTCACTTTTATTGTGTTTAATAAATACAATAAATTGTCGACAAATTAGTTATGAAGTGAATCCCAACTGCAATATCAGTAAAGACTGCACACAATATATGACCACAAATTCAGTGAATTTGGTTCACATCGTCTCCGATGACAAAAGCGATTCAATTCACTACATCTGGTCTTCAATCACAGGCTTTCCGCCGACACTTGTGATCGCGAAGACTGATCCCAACGTCAATCTGACCGTTGATTGGAAGGCATTAGTGAACAAGAAATCACATGAAAAGGCCATTAACTTCACTAAAGAGCCGTTGAATTCAATGGCACTTCAATTCACACGACTCTTCGTATTCAACGACGTGAAGAATAACGGCAAATACGATAACCAAACGGATCCCACGCTTGATATCGATTGGCACACATTTATGTGGTCTAATGTGACAATCAGTGGATCCGATAAGACGAAGTCGATTGAATTGCACTTTACAAACACTAGTAGTTATAACGCAAGCGTTTCTTTCGACTTAAAGGTGGACTCGAGTGATGGCAGAGACGAAGAGTTGCCTCATTTGGCGTTTACTGACAAAAGTGTTTCATTGAAATTAAGTGTAATCGGACTCAAGACAGACAAAGTGTTAAATCAAAGCCAATTCAATGACGCCAATCGTCCCCGACTTATGGCCGATATTTTGGTCGTTAATGACATGAAAGACAAGTCCAATAAGAAGATTGGTTTCGAAACAATCACATCCATTGACGACGAATACACGCCCGGAGTTTTCGATGTAACCTATATTTTGATGCTTTTATAGAAATTAATTATAATTTGTATTTTAATTGTTTTATTTGAATGAAAAGCGAATTCATTTAGAATTGGATACAAATAAAGAGTCTAAAGAGTCGGACGACGAGAGGAAGAGTTTCATTCAATGGAAGCCAATCGCATACAATTCTAACGACAAGATTATCGCAAACACTTTGGATGTGATTCCCTCCGACCCGACGATTGCCAACATAAGTGATTTCACCGAATATAATAGCCGTCTATTGGAGGCCTACTTCAGCGATC